AAAGGTCTATCAAGGCCTATACAGTCTGCACTCTAGACCAGTGTTTCTAAACCTTGCCACCTTTAAGTTGTGGGGACTTCCACTCGCAGAATTCCCCAGCCAGCCATTCTGGGAGTTGAAGTCCACACATCTTAAAGTTGCCAAGGTTGAGAAACACTGGTCTAGACTGTTCAGAAACAGCACTGCAGGGTCAGTGGAAAAGAAACCTCCCCTACTCTGCCCCGTTTTAACATAGAGATGCCAGCTCCTGAACCTGGGACTTGCCACGTTCAAACTTTCTGTTCTGCCAGTGAAACACAACTTTGTTCCACACCTGCCACATTGTGCAGGAACGGTCTCTCTCCTGCCTGCAGGGCTCTGTCTGGGAGAAGGTGGCCATCTACCGCAGCCTTCGGGCTATGCTAGAGCATGGCCTGGAGGTGGAACCTGCCTGCAGCTTTGTTGTTACAGCCTCCAAGCAGCTGAGAGCATCTCTGGTGGTAAGCAGGAACAATTATTTTATTTATTTATTTAATTATGTATGAAATGTGTATAGCTGCCCATCTCATAAGTGACTCTGGGCAGTGTACAACAAAGATAAATTATAGCTGAAAGTTCTTCCCTCCTGAGACTTAACATCTACTTTAACTTCTAACCATCTGAGTAGTGTGTGGCAGTCATTCAGAGGTAGGAGATGAAGGCATTGTTTGCCTGTTCAGATGTTCCAGAACATCTGCTAAATCATTAAAATTGGGTTCTTGGACTCAAATGTGACTGAAATAAGCTGACTTTCTACAGTTCATCATGTACATCATGTACAAAGACTTTTTGCAGTTGATGATGCATCTGCTCCCTTCCCTGAATATGTGCATACTGGCAGAAGCTGTTTGTTTAGTAAGGTTGATGCTCTTGCCCGATCTCTGTTCTTAAGTTTTGGATAAAATCAAGACCCACCCACATCTGTTCCTTTCCTTTTGACTGTTCATCTGCTGCCATCCCAGCAAGTGGCTGAAACTAGGATTGAGGAGACCCTGTTTCAAGTTCATCCTCAGCTATGGAAACTTTGGGCTAATCACTCTCCCTCAGCCCATCCTATTTAACCGAGTTGTGGAGATAAAATGAAGGGTGATCTTCAGTGTAAGCTGCTTTAAATAAGCTGCCTTATTCTAATACATAATATAGTGTTTTATCTCATTGTTTTTCAGCAGGAGGTGCCTCGGGAGCTCCAGGTGGCTGCCAGCAATGCACTGGCTACTTTTGCTCGCCGACATTTCAACATCATCATGACTGAGCTTCAGCGGCACCTCAAGCCCTTTGTCCAGCCTGATGAGTTCACTCTCCTCACTTTGGGCAAGATCACAACTATGAATGGTAGGTTGTAGCTCAAAATGGGTGAGAGTGAAAGGCAACTGCCTCAGTCCCAATACATCAGGGCTCCCAGGGTGTCCAGTTCTTGTCTTATAGGGACATAATTTAGACTTTAAAGAAATTGTATCTTGCCCTTGCCCAGCTTATGAGAATAGCCTATAATGTAGAAGTCAAAAGTAGTTCATGATTGTTCCCAAAGAGCTACTCAACAATCTTTGTTTCTTGACTAATTCCCATTTCAGAGTTGCAGATTTCCAAGATGATCCCAGCAACACTTCTCTTTTGACAAGCTACCTCTCTCTCTCTCTCCCTTTTCCTCCCCTCAGTGTACAACTGTGTCCCCTTCTTTGGCATCACCCTGACCACTATGCAGACAGTCACACGTAGGATTGAGGATACCAGGAGACGCCTGGCCCTCTGTACAGGTGAGGCTTCCTGAGCTGATTCATGTTTCCCATCACAAACCTTCAAACTCTTTAGCTGGCAGCCCAAGGCTCTGGGACCACACAAAGACCTTGACCCCCTCATTGCAAGGTTTAAACTAACCAAGCTAAGCACTTAGATTTTTAATTGACTGTTGAAGTGTGTTGTGTGAATGAAGTCACTAAGAAATGAAAAACAGAAAAAAATGTGCATTGAGTGGTTGACAAATGACAATTTGTTCACACAACATGCTAAGCCAAATTCAAACAAATCCCTTATGGCTAAGCAGAAGTATCTTTGCTGTTGTTCAGAACTGGACAATCAATGATTCTGAAGACTTTGTAGGAAAAGTTGGCTCAATAGGTCCCACTTAGAGCTCTTTATGCAGAAACAGAATTTGTCTTCTACCAACAAGATCCTCATCTTTCTCTGCTTCCACATGCATACAAGCCCTGGAACAGATATGCAAAGCAATTCAAATCTATCTTCGGAGCTGGGAGAGGAGCTCCTACCCCCGTATCAGTGTCCAGCAATTCTCCATCTACCTTCTTCCACTTTATGCCTGTATCACTCGAACCTGGTTACCTGGAAGTCACTCCCAGGTGAGTTGTCAACTCAGATGGGCTCGTGACCCTCTCCCAGGACTGCCTCCAATTCCATGGTAGCAGTACAAGGTGGCAAAGCTCTCTGTATGGCATTCATGTTAAAGAGGGACATGTTTTACTTGAAGAAAAATTTGGGGAGATGAAACAATCACCACCAACCCTTCCTCTTCCATCCATTCTGGCAGGTCAGGCTAGCAGTTCTGAAGGCCTTAAGCCCCATGCTGAGCATCCTGCTTCCCAGGACAGAATTCCAGGCTCAGATCTATGATGACATCATTTTGCTCTCATTGCAATATGAGAACAACAGCACTGAAGCCTTTTATATCTCTAAGGTAAGGGGGCTTGAGGGTTCCCACTGCCTACCATA